AGAGCTCACGATGGAATCCCTCACTGAGTAAATATTGCCTGACTGCACTCCTCACCTATTTATATGGCAGTTTACAGTGGACATTGTTATCTCACGGAATCCCCTGCACACTTTTGTGAGGCAGTGTGGGTTGATATTATCCCCGTTTTTATTGATGAGGAACCTGAGATTCAGGGGGGCTCTCTAACAGAACACTTGGGGATATACTCATAGATCAAACACATGTGCTTCCCTGGAAGGAGACCATAGTCTAGCAGGGGACATAAGACAGAAACAGGAATTCAGGTAGAAAGAGATGTAGTACAGATTTTAAAAAATATGAAAATTCAGAGGAGGAGGGGTTAGCGAGAAGTAATTTGTGAGGAGGAGGGAATCTGAGAAGGCTTTTTGGAGGAGATGGCCCTGGCCCATCTTGGAGCTGATAAAACTGTAGTTTCCTTTGAGGGTCTGGATGGAGGGCAAATGACCATGGCCTTGCTGCTGTGCTCCATTGGTTCCCTTTATTGGGTTTTCATAGTTTTATAACCCAGGCTGCGTAACTTCCTTTGTGTTATCATCTCATCATATTTATGATAAATCCTCGTTTTCTTTTGAGATCTTTCTGTTTAATAAAAATGTAGTTTGTCTTTGAATTTTGCAAATAAATGATTATTTTGACTTCCCTAGAATAAGTTGCAGTAACCTTGTTTTCCACTGGGAAGATAAACCAATAGACTTATGAACTATCACATAGTTCATTTTTACAGCGGTGGGTAATTTTTTTAGCTACAACTATCTAATTAGCTAAAAATAAACATCTGTACTGTTATGACTGTGTTATTAAATCAAGGAGTATGAAGAAAATTTCAAGGACAATGGATTTATTTCTGGAACAAAAGAGACAGTAAGGAATAAAGCTATGACTGGCAGTCGGATAAAGAGCCAAACTCTGTTAGGATGTGCTTGCTTTTCTCTTTTTCTATAACATCTGTTTTACATTATTATATATAATACCTACTTCCATAAAGCATCTGGGTCCTCAAGAAAGTCGTATGTAGATATGGAGAACCTTTATAATTGATAAGATTTGAGAAAGTTGGCTTAAGTAGTAATCTTTATTGAAATATATAATTTTTAATAAAATGCACTTTATTATTTTAAAATGCAATGCATCTTTTAAAACAGATATAAATGCAATTTATAAAACAGATAAAGAAATGCAATTCTATTTGTCCTTTAAAATATCTATTAAAATTTTAAGTACGCATGTTCTTTGACTTACCAGATTCACATCTGGTAATCTATCCTACATATATACTGACAGAAGTGCACAAAAATATATGAAAGGATGTTTGTTGCAATATTGTTTATGACATCAAAAAAATGGAGATAACCTAAATGTCCGTTAGTATATGACTGTTTCAGTGAATTATGATTCACCCCTATAATGGAATATTATACCATCCATCATTAAAAGAATGAGGTATTGATACAGAAAGATGTCAAGGTTACCTTAAGGAAAAAAATGAAGTGGCAGAACAATGTGCATACTGTAAACCCATTTGTGCACTGAAAAGGATATATGTCTATTTATGTATATATACATTTCCTTAAATAAGCATAAACTATCCCTGACATGGTATGCAAAAGCTGTCAAAAATGCTTACCTTTTAGGAGGCAACTGCAGCCTGGATAATGTATATTAAGGGGATATTTTTACTTTTTACTGTGTACCTCCTAAATTCTTAGAGTTTTTGCCATAAGTATTTATTATTATAAAAATAATGGATAAAAATAATTACTTAAAAAATAAAAACCTATTAAATTTATTTTATTTTAATAATTTAATAGTAGATTATATAAATTAAAGAAGCCTTTTAACATTAAGGCCTCTATTCTGCACTAAGAAATATTTCCAGGCATGTTAAAGGAAAAAAAATCTACTTTAGTTCTTAGTTTAAATAATTATTGATTTATGGCAAATAACCCTGAAAAAAATCACAACACAAAAATTAATTTCCACCATTATTTAGAAAAATTACATATACCACCAGTTGAGAGCCTCAATATTTGAATTATAATAGCCTAAACTGAGGAGATTTTTACCCCCTGGTGTTTATGCTTCTCTTGAAGTGTTATGGAAACATTTGATAACGATTCAACCATATTGAGCTCTTCACTTAGTTTGCAGTGTTAGGCTTTTGTGCAGATGGGTCCTGATCATATGCTGTTTTTGGATTGACTCCTATTTTTCTGAATCAGAAATTAGTGAAGATTGTTTTCCATATCTAATCATCTATTTAGCCCCAGTATAACGAAGGATTGTTTTATTTTTATTTTTTTTTCTGAGGAAGATCAGCCCTGAGCTAACATCCATGCCAGTCCTCCTCTTTTTGCTGAGGAAGATTGGCCCTGGGCTAACATCCGTGCCCATCTTCCTCTACTTTATATGGGGCACCGCCACAGCATGGCCTGACAAGCAGTGACTCGGTGCGTGCCTGGGAGCCGAACCCCGGCTGCCAGCAGCGGAGCACGCGCACTTAACCTCTATGCCACAGGGTGGCCCCCCACAAAGGATTGTTTTAAAAGATGAATTCTTTGTCCTTTTTATGATTTAATGTAACATGTTTCCAGAGTTGGTATTTTAAAGAAAACTTTAGTAATTTATAAAACATTTCTTATGTGATTTTACCTCTGATATATTTTCCCCACATACAAGGACTTGTCAGCTTCCGTTGTTCTCTAATCTGATACCATAATTCTTGCGATTATCTTCTTTGTTTCCATACTTCTCTGTTTCTACTATTTTTTTATCTACTATTCATTGTGAGTCATAGACCTTGGAGGGAGAAGATCTGATTGGGTTATTTAGTTGCCACTCAACATAAGGAAACACTTTTAGACAGAATTCTCTTTCTATTCAGGTCACCTCATTGGCTGTTGGCCTTTCGTGTCTGGCCAATAGAAAGCTACAGTTTTGATTTCTGGTCCAATCAGATGTGTCTGGGAAATCAAAGTCATTTGAAACATAGTAACCTCTCCTGCACTTAGAATCTAATGTTGTGGACAGTTCACCAGTCCAACAGAGGATATTTTAAATTCTGTTAAATTTACCCCCAACCCTACTCAAAAAACAAAACAAGACAACCACAAATCAGCCTAGAGGAAAGCTTAGATTTGCACTGCATAACCCAAAGGTTCTACATGTAGATCATAAGCAGCTTCGGGAAAAGACACAGGCCTTGGGTTCACACAAAGTTAGAATCCCTTCTTGGCAACTTCTGAGGTGGACAGTCTTGGCTCTCAGAGATTGTGACCTCCTATGTAGAATAGAGATAATATTTCTTTGTAGGATTTATCTGAGGATTTAAGGTAACTGTGTATGTAAATTGAGTAGAACAATAATTGACACACAGTAATGATAATAGGAGCAAACATTTACTGAGTACATACGTACCAAGTGCCAAGCATTATTCTAAGCCCTTTTTGCATATTAGCTCATTTAATCGTCTGAACAACCCTAGGAGGTTATTATCTCCTTTTGACAGGTGACACAGTCAGTTCTTAATTTGCTTAGATTACACAGCAGTAAGTGAAGGAGCTGATAGCTCAGGCTGTTAACTTCTACACTAAACCAACCCCACCTATGAAGCCAGTGCCTGTCTTTGTTTCTGCCCCTAAGTCTGTGGCCTTCTGGGTTCCACCCCTGTCAGACCTGGATGTGAAGTTCTACCCTATCTTGTCCTCCATCACATCCAACCACAGTCTTCAGTTCATGATGCTCAATGACACCCTTGGGAATCTGAAGGTGTCACAGCGTCAGGGATTGCACTGTGTACCATCTTACCTGCTCTCTATCCTCTCACCAAAGCTGAGATTCACCCAGTCCTGTGGGATTATCTTATGAGGAGCAGCAGTCTCAGGCCAGGCTGCCTTCCTTGGAATTCCAGTGAAGAAAGTGTCTTGTTACATCGTTATGTCTTCCTATTCTCTCCTCTCCACTTGTCAAGCACTGAATATTTTAAGCAGGGTCAGTCTTTAAAACAGACTGTGAAGTAAGTAATATTGGCGCCTTTAAACCACCCATTCTATCAATCCTTGCTCTGTCACTCTTTCATGTCTCAATGGATCAGTTTAATTAGAAGCTTTCAGCTTCTGAAGAAATGGGAGATTAATGGGGGAATGGGAAAAGGTCATGTAGAGCAATGCTTCTCTCACTTTATTGTGCATACAGACCTTGTTAAAATGCTGAATCTGATACAGTGAGTCTGGGGTGGGGCCTGAGATTCTGCATTTCTGACAAGCTCCTGGTGATGTCAATGCTCCTAGTCTCTGAACCACACTCTGAGGAGCAAGTATTTAAAGTATTTAAAGACAGGCACCCCCCTGAGATGCCAGAGGATTTACCCTATTACCTTTTCTGGGAACGTTTAATCCAAAGAAATGAGTCTCTCTTAATGGCATTTAGTTAATGTGACTGGCTGCTAGAAGAAATTTCTCAATTTCCAACTCTACCCTGGACTGCTTACCAGTAAAGCCATTCCTGGTTGGAGAAAAGAATAGTATAAACTTGTCAAGTTTTGATATAAACACTGCAAAAATAGGCATTTTCCTCCATCAATTTAGTTTAGTGACTCTCAAATGATTTACATTTGTTTTTGCTTAGCTTTACGTGAAAGAACATCATCTTGCTGCTACTCAAGGTTCAGTTTCTCATGACTAGGGAAAGAGATGATACTTATCCTGGTACAAGGGCAACAGTGTATTTCAATATCTGTTATTACCTACATAAAAGGACAGTTAAGTCAGCTTTTATTTCTCTGTCTTTTGATTTGGAGTCAGCTCACTAGGAGTGTTTATGAATAATTCTGTTAGAAATGGTTTGATAATACTAATCTGAATAATGAAATATTGTGCAGAGCCTTACAAATGGAGGTGCAGTGTGGGCAGAAACCTGTGAAATGAGGTGGTTGATTCTCCTTGTGATGACAAAGGCTTACGTTCTCTATTTCTCTTTTCAGGGAGGGGAACACTGTTACTACCAGGGCCATATCCGAGGAAACCCTGCCTCATTTGTTGCATTGTCAACATGCCATGGACTTCAGTAAGTGTCCAAAAATTTTTTGTATCATCCATTCTTTCAATCACTTATTTTCTTTATTTTTAATGCACTGTAATCGAGATCCCTATTTTATGAGTGAAAATAATTTTAAATTGGTGATGGAGCTGATCTTTTTTCTCTTTTGTGGTTTTTAAACCAAGCAGGTTTTTTCATTAGAGTTGCAGCAACCAGGGGCTCTAATATTATAATATGATACCCTACAGTGATGTTTAAAGCATTTTTCTAGTTTCATCCAAGTTGAGACACGAGTGATTTGGATAACTTGGGTCTCTGTTTCTGTGGATGTTTAATCCCTTGGTACCAGTTCTACCCTTACTCCTCCTTGATGTTAGTTTTTATATTTTTATGGAATAATAGAAATTTCAGTAGATGGAAACTCTTGACTCCTTTCACAGGGACAAAAGGCTGTAAGTGACCTCAAGATCTCATGTGTCTCAGCCCTTTTTTCAGCCAGAATCCTACCTAACCCACAGCAAACTCGTGGGAGGGTCCGTCTGTTCTCAGAAATCTCCAAGGATCAGAGTTCATCCTTCCTCGGGGCCTTGCTTCCTTTCTCATAACCTTCATTATCAAAGAATATTTGCTGATGGTTAACAGGGGAATACATCTACTTCCTCCGTCCTGTCGATAATAGTGGTACACAGGTGGCCATCTCTGTTTTGTAACCCCTTCTAAAGCTACTGTGTCGTTCCTCGGCATTCTACTTAGGCTAAATGATCTCAGTTCCTTCTTGTTTTGTTTTACTTTTTTTTTGGCACAGAACAAGCCAGCACTTTAATTTTGTCTTGTTGAATTTTTGTTTGGAAACTTTAAAATACTTCCTCTCTGTTGCCAAGTTCGAGATGTGGCTTTTTCATCTAACTAGCAGTTATTGAGTGTCTACCATGCCAGCCACTACGAATATTAAGGCGATTAGAAGATGAGCCTTGCCCCCAAGACCTCACAGTCTAGGGGGGAAGCTAAATCCAGCCCCGCTTCCTTCTAGGGAGTGTGATGGGTATATTTGTTTTCTTTAAGAGAGAAAAAAACTGAGAAAAATGTGAGCTGAAAGTAGGCACTGAAGAATGAGGTAGTACATGAGGGCTCCAGAGCAGTGTGACCTGAAGGAGGTGGTGTGGTCCCCGGAATAGGCTTTGATAGAATCATCCAAGAGAGGAGGTTAGATCTTACAGAAAGCTAGGAAAGAGATCTAATGGGAAGGGCTGGAAAATGCAGCTGGTCTGCCTAAGTGGTGCCTCTGATCAGGCTCTGGCAGAGTAGGAATGTGAGAGGCAGAAAGGAGATCAGGAGGATCAGTTGAATAGCTGGAGAGACGAAGCCATATGTCTGAGAGCATGGATGACCTCCGTTTGCTTATTGTTTGTTCTGAAAGACTACTTTACTTATTTTAAAGAAAGTCTTTGACTAAAGAGACATTTTTACAAACAGAATCCATGCCTAATATCTGAGGGCCTCAGATTTCTTATCTGGAAAAAGAAACGTTGAAGTCTCTTTCAGCAGTAAAATTGTTATATCTGATCTCAAGAGGAGCACAGCGGTCAGCTAGGAATAGTACACTGGGCCTGTCAACATTTGTGGCAGCAAGTGTATATTATAGCAGAGTGATATAAAAAATAAGAGGAGGCTTTTTTTCTTCTCTCTTCCTCTTAAAATCTCAATCCAAAGTCACAGAATAAGCATCTTGCTCAGTACTTATTCCAGTTTGCCTCCCAGTTTTCCAAATGGACACAATACTGTGAGAATCAGAGAGAAGGAATTACTGCCTTGTAAGGACCCTAATAGACCTGAGAACCTAAGACTGATAGCTTTATTTAACACTAAACAGAAAGAAACAAACAGAAAACCCACTGTGTGGAGCACTGTCAGGATTATGTATGAATATGTTTGGGTGTCTTAGACTTTTAGGAGCATGTTGGATACATTTACTCTTGTTTCTTTTTGTTATTTATTAATTATGACTTCTTGTGTATATTTTACCTTCTGAACAAAGATTGCTGACAGAAATATTTTGGGGGATATTACTAAATATTAAATAACTTATGTTGTGTTAATTGCAGTGATTTAGCTATGAGATGTATTATTTCATCCATGATTCATCTTTTGTAAATTACCAAGCACATATTGAGAGTTTTCATTTTTCTCGATTTGCTGAGTTCAGTTGAAGAACATCAAGGGGGAAAATAATCAGATTCATATGTCTTTTCCATAAAGAACCTGCAAGAGCATATTTTTTCAAATTAGAAAAACTAATGGGCGATATTTTGGTTCTGGTATGTCTGATGTAATGACAAAATCCTGTAACTATGGGAACCTTAAAGAATGGAATCAAATGTAAGTTTATTGCCCTCTTGTGGCAATTTGTGAGAATAGCTCTTTCTTTTCAAAATCTTGTTTTGATTCAGCCTTTTAAAATTTTAGCTCAATTGGCCTGTAATGACTCATCCTAGCTGCAGGTTTTTATTAAGTATATACTGTGTATGGGCTTAATATACTTATTGGAATTTATATAAATATAACAGAAAGGTGCCAATCCTCAAAGCAAATAAAACACATATGCTTTTTAATTGTTAAAGAATCAATAATGGCATATTGTCATATAGGGAATCAGAATCTTCTAGTTACAGATGGTGTCAGAATTTGATTTTTTTACATTGTATCAAAATGTTTTGTTTTGTTTTGTTTTTTGTGAGGAAGATCAGCCCTGAGCTAACATCCATGCCAATCCTCGTCTTTTTGCTGAGGAAGACTGGCCCTGGGCTAACATCCGTGCCAATCTTCCTCCACTTTATGTGGGACGCCACCACAGCATGGCCTGACAAGCGGTGTGTCAGTGTGCGTCCGGGACCTGAACCCGGGCCACCAGCAGTGGAGCACACGCAGTTAACCACTATGCCACGGGGCCGGCCCCCTGTATCATGTTGTTTAAATCCAGTAAAAATAACTAATTTTTGCATTGGACACTAACCTAATGCAGGAGGAAATAATACCCTGTACTATTTAAACAAAAAGATCTGTTTGCTACTTAATCAGCATAAGCATGTGAACTTTGGCAAGGGTGATGGTTCTGTACAATTTCCTGGATGGGTCTGGCTAGTCCTCAGTAGGGGCCTAAAGAATGTTCACTGCTATATTTGGTGTACTGTTCTGAAAATGTCCCCCCACTGATTCCTCAGGCATATATTGTCAGCAGTATCTCACAAACTGCATCTGTTTATCTTTAAATTCCAAATGCTATGTCATCCAAATTCAGAAAGTGCACTTTTGGTTGAAAACTTTACAGATGTGTGAGAATAGCAGTTCTAAGGGTATATAAAAGTTGAGGACGTGTGGAAGATGTTACATCAAGAGTGAAAGCATTTGGATAGAAGCGGAGCTTGAGGCCGTTAGAATTATAGCTCAAGGAAACCAACTAATGTCACTAAGCGATCAATAAAAGACAAATATGATTCTATGTTTAACAGCTTGAGTGTCAAGCAGTCATTTCTACCTAATACCGAAAAACGACTGCAGAAGATCGCAGCTTTGCCTCCCATCAGATGCCTGAATGATAAGACACGTTCCTTCAGTGTCCTAAGGGGCTTGATCTCAGTAGAAGGACCACGTTCTCCTAAAAGGAGTGGCTATCAGGATCTCTTTGAGTGGGTGTTGAGGCCATATGTAGGTTAAATGCCCTCCAGAGGATTTCTCAGTTGGCCAATAGTCATCCCCAAAACCGAACTCCAGATTTGTGCCCTGCTCCCTGCATCTTGCTTCTTTGTGTCCACCTCATTCTGCTCTTCCTGTGGCTTTTTTCATTTTATTACATGGCCACTCCGTCTTTCCAGCTGCTCAGGTCAAAACCGTGGAGTCCTCAATGATGCAACTCTTTCTTGCATACTTCCTTTCAAATCCATTGACAAATCTTGTTGGTTCTACTGTTGAAAAATAGCCAGAATTTGACTAGTTCTCACCATCTCCACCATTATCACTGTGATCTAAGTTACCATCATCTTTTTTTTTATACTAATTTATTTATTTTTTTTAAAAATAATTTTATTTATTTCTTTTTCCCCCAAAGCCCCAGTAGATAGTTGTATGTCATAGTTGCACATCCTTCTAGTTGCTGTATGTGGGACGCGGCCTCAGCATGGCC